TCAGGAAAAAAAGAGTGCTTCAACAGTGTAGGGTAGTCGCGCAGCTCTGTCTGGCAGGTAGAAACACAGAGGTATGGTAGGTGCTGTGACGCAACCCTTTTTTTGTCCCTCCGGAGGATGAGTCAGAGAAGGGGGATACATCCCCCAGGGGATGGATTGAATACCGCCCATGGTTCAGATTGGGGGCATGCTAATACAATGTTTGGTTTGGGAAATCGTGATGCCTTGGCTCTGCCTGAATTCAAATGTAGGATTACTCCAAAAGTGATTTCAGGAGTGTATATATGGCGAGAAAATGGCCGATTCACACTACAACAGGTTTTAATTGTCATTTATTTTAGTGGTACGGAAAATGGTTATCGGGGCGGGCCAGGTGATCATCGCACCTTTCCAAAACGCAATCGGTAAACACCAACGAACAGAAGTGTTCAGCTGGGCGGGACCTGCCATTCGGAGATTATCTAGTGTTATTTTCAAATGTAGAGGTTGTAAATATAGGTTTCGTGTGTTGAGTTGACCATGATATTGTTATAGTAAGCACTCGATGCTTCTTGAGTTGATTGCTGTTCTCATGCAGAGAGAATCTCTATTTTGGTAAAGGCATTCCTTTATTCCATTCTATTCTTGTTAATAAATGTTTGGGTCTGTTTCTAGTTCTGCTTGGGGATTTTTTGAATTCGTCTGGGGCCCTTTGAAGACTTAATTATGAGAGCATTTCCCCCGTGTCGAACTTTCCCAAATTTGCGTCCACCTCTTACCCACTTTCTGCTGTCACCCGTCCCTTCTGCAATCCCTAATTCCCTTTATTTCCGCGTTCTGGAAATTCTCTAAACATATGTGTTTTGTGCTTCTTGTCCCATGCCAGCTTGACCCGGCTTCCACAGGCGGTTGTTCAGGTATTAGGTTCATCGGATTTTCCGACGGACAGCCATGCACAGACAGGCATATCTCTTTGTATGTATTAGGTTGTCTCATAAATAGTGTCGCTTTTTTTCAACCAAAAAATTTTCATCTAAATCCTCATGCTTTTACATCGAGTCATATACCATTCGAAGAGAATTGTCTGCTCTACAAGATGTGTGTTCTTCTTCCATCTATGTTCAAGGGTTTTCAAATTTTAGGCCTGCGAAATGGGAGGTCCCGCCGACAAAAATTGACCAAACCGACAACTAGCTCTAACTTTATTTTCCCTTCGGAGAAATCAATCAATGATGTACCCTCTACTTACTCATGACCTCTTCTGAACATTCCACCCTTAGGTTGCCGAAAAAGGTTTGCCCTGTTTCTTTTCGAATTGGCCGACCGATAAGTCATGGCAATTTTCAAATTGAAATTCTTCCTCTGAAACGCTATTGTTTTATATCAACTGGTATATCTTTTGTGAGCACTTCTTCTGCTTTATTCGCTCATTTGTTTTGTTTTGATGTTTGTTAGGAATTAGCTCGAATTTTAGGGTTTAGGAGTAAGGTGCTTTGTCCACAAAAGTGACCGCATTTCTTTGAAAGAAATTATCCTTGAGGAGATGAGAAAACCAACCAGGCGTACATTCCTAACTTAGTCACGACTTGTTCTTGAAATTCTACTAGTTTTTCAATGTCTCGGCTGTAAAAAAATTTCGACCTCGATCTCAGGTAATGGTGCTCAACCGTCGAGTTCTGGTTGAAAAACCGGGTCTGGAAATGGAATGATGCGACTTGTTGGGAAACCTAATAGTGTAATGTTTAGAAGAGGTCATGCATAAGTAGAGGGTACATCATTGATTGATTTCTCCGAAGGGAACATAAAGTTAGAGCTAGTTGTCGGTTTGGTCAATTTTTGTCGGCGGGACCTCCCATTTCGCATGCCTCAAATTTGAAAACCATGAACATAGATGGAAGAAGAACACGATATTTTGTAGAGCAGACAATTCTCTTTCGAATGGTATATAACTCTCTGTAAAAGCATGGGGATTTAGATCAAAATTTTCTGGTTGAAAAAAAGCGACACTCTTTATGAGACAACCTAATAGTAAGGATCGTTTATCGAAGGCGTAGGCTCTGTAGTGGCAGTATTGCCGCTTACCACGCACGGGATCCGAGGAAGGTCAGCTGCCAGATCGAAGCTACCTGGGGGCTGGCGTGTGCCTTTAGTCTAAGTGCAATTATCAAGGATACCCACCTCGCACCTACACTTCACCTGGCCTGTGGAAGGGCTTGTTAATGCACTTGGTTCGTTTCTGCTTGACCTCGTTCCTCTCAGACTCAGTATCGATCATATGAATAATGAGCTTTATCACATAAACACGTGTCCAAAAGAGGATTAAAAACAGTAAGAAACAAAACAGGAATATATAAAAACACGCCAGTAAACATCAAAAATTACTTGAAGTAAATTTATTGCTTTGGGAAAATGCAAATTAACCCTTTCGGACCTGAATTTTTCCCCGTGGAGAAATTTTTCTTCTAGCTATTGTTTATTACTTGTGAGCATATAGGTATCATTATGGCGAAATTTGGAAGCTATTCGATCACAAACAAAGAAACTAAGAAGCTTTGAAAATTGGCCCACCTTCTTAGTTTTTAAGCTTATGTCGAAACAATTCGAAATTTCATAGTTATGCCGAAAAAGTTTATAATCTTGCATAACATTATAACCCATAATTTTGATTTAGGAATGGATCTACTTCAAGTATTTTAAGAAAAAGTCACACTTACTTGGCCGGTTGCGGGGGTCAGCGCCCATTCACTGTTGCACTTGTACACAAATACTTGCAATACTAACAGCAATAAACAATGAAATGGCCGGTTAAGCTCATAATTAGGAAGGGGAAGGTTGACTGAAGCAAACTCTAGCAGGATTAGAAAAACCATGCTGTTTCAGCGGAAATGCAAGCGTTTGAATTTGGTGGTGGCAATTGCCACCGCCAGGGCCGAAAGGGTTAAAATAATAAAAAAATAAAATAAATAAATGATATTAAGAATTTTTTAGAAGAATTTTTAAAATTCAGTATAATTTTTCTTTGTGTTAGTTAACTATTTCGTATTCTTGGGTAGGTTCCCTCAGCGAAAAATGTTCCGCGCTGCGAAACGCGAAAAATTCGCTTTCATTCCTAGAGAACCACACCCGACTGCCCTTCCAGCGATTTGCTAGCGAATCGCTCGATGTCGGACTTTCGAATCCAGCGATTCGGTGGATTCGCAAAGTCCGACATCGGCAGATGTTACGCGTTGGAAGTACTTACAAGCGGACTACATGGGGCGGTATTCAATCCTTCCCCCAGGGGATATATCCCCCTCCTCTGATTCAATCCTCTGGGGGGACAAAAAAGGGTTGCGTCATAGGACCTAGCATACCTCTGTGTTTCTACCTGCCAGACAGTTAGAGCAGCGCTACTACCCTCCACTGATGAAGCACTCTTTTCCCTGAGGGGTCGCGCTGCTAACTGTCTGGCAGGTAGAAACACAGAGGTATGCTAGGTCCTATGACGCAACCCTTTTTTGTCCCCCCAGAGGATTGAATCAGAGTAGGGGGATATATCCCCCAGGGGAAGGATTGAATACCGCCCATGGTTCAGATTGGGGGCATGCTAATACAATGTTTGGTTTGGGAAATCGTGATGCCTTGGCTCTGCCTGAATTCAAATGTAGGATTACTCCAAAAGTGATTTCAGGAGTGTATATATGGCGAGAAAATGGCCGATTCACACTACAACAGGTTTTAATTGTATTTTAGTGGTACGGAAAATGGTTATCGGGGCGGGCCGAGGTGATCATCGCACCTTTCCAAAACGCAATCGGTAAACACCAACGAACAGAAGTGTTCAGCTGGACGTGACCTGCCATTCGATTATCTAGTGTTATTTTCAAATGTAGAGGTTGTAAATATAGGTTTCGTGTGTTGAGTTGACCATGATATTGTTATAGTAAGCACTCGATGGTTCTTGAGTTGATTGCTGTTCTCATGCAGAGAGAATCTCTATTTTGGTAAAGGCATTCCTTTATTCCATTCTATTCTTGTTAATAAATGTTTGGGTCTGTTTCTAGTTCTGCTTGGGGATTTTTTGAATTCGTCTGGGGCCCTTTGAAGACTTATTATGAAGTTCCGTGTCGAACTTCCCAACTTTGGTGCACCTCTTACCCACTTCTGCTGTCACCCTCCCTTCCTTTGCAATCCCTATCCACTTATTCCTCGGTTTCTGGAAATTCTCTAAACATATGTGTTTTGTGCTTCTTGTCCCATGCCAGCTTGACCCGGCTTCCACAGGCGGTTGTTCAGGTATTAGGTTCATCGGATTTTCCGACGGACAGCCATGCACAGACAGGCATATCTCTTTGTATGTATAGTAAGGATCGTTTATCGAAGGCGTACGCTCTGTAGTGGCAGTATTGCCGCTTACGCTATCACCGGCGCACGGCGATCCGAGGAAGTCAGGCTGCAACGAAGCTA